CGGTTAGTAGGGACTTGGGTTGGGCTGGAGGAATTATGGACTATTTGGATGGGCCTTTTTAACTTCGGAAATTCCGACAAACTTTCCGGAATTTTTTCCGACCGATTCCGAGTTCCGACGGAAACTGCTATTATCATATTCGATTCCGTTTCCGAAAAAATATTTCCGTTTCCGAGAAATTCCGAAAAAATTTCGACCGGCTGATTCCGTTTCCGAAAACAGGTCCGGAATCCGGAAAAATTCCGAACCGTTTTCACCCCTACTACACATTTTTGCCAATGGTCAAAAGCTTTTTTTTGTGTGTTTTCTCAATAGTTTTTCTTTATTTCATATGAAAACATAAGGGTGTAAAGGATATTTAAATATTGAATTTGCATGCATAGATGATGTGGCATGTACACATGGCATGTTTAGAGGGTCTAAGGACCATATTGAATCACACAATGAACTTAAGGTACTTATTTGGACAACACGAAATGTCAGGGACTAAATTGATCCTTAAGCGAAAGTTCAAGGATCACGTTGGGTATTCACCCTAAACCTTTCGGCATGTTCAGATTAGTTCCGAAAATAACCTTACCAAAATTTGACAATACCAAATTTTTGACAAATTGATAGAATTGCCAAATTTTGATATGTTGGAATAAATATGTTGTGCCAAAATTTTCTATGCATTACCAATATTTGGTAACAAACTAAATGCAACCATATATTTGTTAATTTTACCAAACAACGGTATGGTTTAAAATGGCACCAATCTAAACAGATCCTTTATCACTTAAATCCAATGTTGATTAGAGAAAAATGATTATTAGAAAAATTTAAATTATTTTAATAATGTTATAAGTATAGTGACATCTATTACTTAAAAAAATTAATCGCCTAGACATTGAGAAAAATAAAGAGATAAATTTGAGTGCAAAATACAGTTCATAGATTTGTTCTTTATATCTCGATACGTGAGTTGATTTTAGAGTTAAGATTTTGTGATGTGGCATAAATATGTTGTTTGAATATTGTTATTTTTTTAAAGAACTTTCTATGACCATTTGGATAGTTTTTAATATACGAGGGGATGTCTCCTTAGGTATATAATACTTTCTCTATAGTACAACTCATTTTCATAAAAAGTTGATTGGAGCTTATACTGCAGCTAGTTGTAAATCTGTTGTAGCTACTTTTTTCTTTTTAACTTGACATAAATTTGATATAAAAACTCTTACAATATGTTTATATCACTTTGTTGTACTTACACTAAAACTACGTGGTCACTTAAGGCTTGGTCAGATTGTAGTCGAAATAAACCTTACCAAATTTTGGTAAATTTATCAAATATGTGCACCCATTTAGTTTTTTTATGAAACTCTGGTAAATACATAATAAATCCTAACAAAACTTGGCCATATTGCCAAATTGCCAAAATTTTGACATTGCCAAAATTTGGTAAAGTTTATTTTGGCTACAATATAAACATGCCCACATGCCCTTAACATGCACTAGCTAACATAGGCTTCATTTGGATCATGTAGTGGTCAATACGTCAATGGCGGTTTTACCCTTCATCATCCAGGTCTTTTGGATTCATTTTTTTCTCTTCTGAAGATTTATTGGAGTGTTTATTTGCTTGTGATGATTAAGTTTTTTTTCTTTAGGGTCTTGTGATGTTTAAGTTTAGGTGTTGAAGTGGTACGTGTTATGTCTCACTGACGTGTGGGTCTTAATGACTGAAGTATCCATATTTCATCTCTGCAGTTCATGGGAGCAGCAAGATCCGTTTTCTACCAATCGATTTGGAAAGCGTGGGTGCCGCCGAAATGCAAATTCTTCTCTTGGCTTGCTACCCAGAATAGGCTATGGACGGCTGACAGATTGGGGAATTGAGGCTAGCGAAATCAAAAGGTTTGCCCCCTCTGCCGCACAATCGACGAATCAGCGGTTCACCTTCTGGCCAAATGTAGAGTCACTAAGAGGATTTGGGCAGAAATCCAAAGATGGACACATACTGACCTCCAAATGGACAAATGGAATGACTGCCCCTCGATTGAACATTGGTGGAACCTTGTCGTCGAATCCCCCAGCACCCCAAGAGCCCCTCTGCGAACGCTACTGATGCTAGTCACCTGGGAGATCTGGGGGGAGCGTAATGCAAGGATCTTTCGAAGTACAGCCTCAACACCGGCCTCAATTCTTGCAAAGGTCAAAAAGGAAGGCAAAGCTTGAGTCAAAGCCGGAACGGCTAGGCTGCAGAAGTTCGGAATTTTGGAAGATATCACCTAACGAACTTCTCTCTTGCGGGCCGGTCTTCTCCGACTAGCCATGTACATACTTTGTATAATTTTTTCCTTCTCTATTAATATATGTGGCAAAGCTTTTGTCCTCCTTTAAAAAAAATAATAGGCAAATTTCTAAGTGACGAAAAAGGGCACCATTGGCTTTATGGATGGTGACGAATCTAGGGCGCATCTAACGTAGGCAAAAGCGATCAATATATACATTGATATATCGTACACTTAATTTGGATAAAAAAAAGTACATGCACGACACTCCATCAATCATGGCAAATGCATATGTTAGGTTTTTCGTTCACCGGGGTGCTTGTACCATATTGCCGCTCCCTTAGAGCAGGTACAATAGCAGACTATTAGTCACCTGCAAACATATTTTAGTGAGATAAAAAATGAGAAAGAAGAGCAGCGGGCTACAGATCTATAGCCAGCTGCAGCACGGACTCCAAGATACAATGTGTGTATGACAGGTGTGACCATATATTAATTGTATAGTAAGCAACTATTATATGAATGAATTGACTATTAGATTGGCTACAAATAAATTAGAGCTAGCAGTGGGCTATACTATTAAACTTGCTCTTAGGGCTCTGTTTTGCAGCTTGGTAGCAGCTGCAACTTTTAAAAAGAATTTTCAGCTCCCCATATATGAGATAATTGCTACATAATTTTTTTAAAAAAATTCGATTTGAAATTTTCAAAAATTTAGACCATCAGCACGAAACTATTAATTCAACCGAACAGACCATCGTTACGAAACCGTTTCGCTGAAAATTCAAATTTTTGTCAAAAATTGTTCAAATGTCATTTCTTTTCTCCGATAGATTTGTGTGTAACGAAATTATAAAACCTTATCATTTGCTTATCAGAATATTCAAATTAATAAGTGGGCATTACCTGCGTGCAGTCGTGCACAAGCTGCATTCGTGCTTAGAACAAGTTTAATAGTATAGCCAGCTATTAGCTCTAAATTATCTTTAGTCAATTTAATAGCTAATTCATATAATAGTTACATATAAACATATATATACTACATTATTAATACCTGGATCCACCTATCATACACACATGTATCTTGGAGTCCGTGTTGCAGCTGACTATAAATCTGTAGCCCACTGCTCTTCTCTCTCCTCTCTTATCTCCTCGAAATATGTTTATAGAGTGTGCTATTCAATCTGCTCTTAGCTTCTGTTCCACTCGTCGCTGGGTTGGTCTCGTGTAAAGTTTTGCAATTTGGCAGGTGTTTTGGCACCAATATGTAGCCAAGACGCAGCGAGTATAGTAAACTAGTACGGAGTAGTTAATTAATGCATATATATTGGATTGATGTATTGCGATTTGGTCAATGTTAATTAGGTCCTCAATTGCATGCCTACGTATTCCATTTGTGTGATGATGCCGGCAAGGCATGCATTACAACATTAGTCAGCCCCACCACTTAGGATCGATGGGGAATTAGTGGCGGACGAGATTAACTTCAAATTAAGCACCCAAGCTAGCTAGCTTTCTTCTAGATCGGTCCTAGCCACCACACAAGTCCACAACACCATTGCCGCCCTAGTGCAAATGTGTGTGCAAATGCACGGCGACTCCGCGAGTTGGCCAATAAATTAATTAGTGGTGGGAACCGCAAAACTTTTGGGTCTATATACTCCGTATTTAACACCGTTGACTTTTTAGCACAGGTTTAACCATTCGTCTTATTCAAAAAATTTTGTGAAATATGTAAAACTATATATACACATATAAGTATATTTAACAATGAATCAAATGATAGGAAAAGAATTAATAATTACTTAAATTTTTTTGAATAAAACAAACGGTCAAATATATTTTAAAAGGTCAACGGCGTCAAATATTTAGAAACGGAGGGAGTATATACTATACATAAATTCATTTCTCACTCATCCTACGTCTATGTATACCAATACAAAACCAAAAAAATTAAAATACCTCCACTTTATCAAATCCTAAATTAATTATTTTTTCTTATATATTCTCAATATATTTATTATCTACTTTCACAAACTATGATATAATAATTACTTTAAAAGATAAAATTATTCTATAAAAGATGGAAGGGGCTTAAAATTAACTATTCTTAGACAGAGGAAGTAATAAATATCACCAAAAGTTTTGAATTTTTTATATGTACTTATAAAAATTGTACATGTGCATAGATTACTGGGAAAGTATTGTAGTGAAAACCTGGATATCGTATAGTGAAAAACTATTTTCACACGGTCAGGAGAACGCTCTCGCTTGACCAGATCACCAGATAGCGAGGAGGCTATCTTCAAAATTTCGAACCCGTGATACGGTATCATTCGGCCGAAAATTTTAATTTTCCATGAATTTTGGCAATATATATTCAAATTTGATAAAATTTTGTTTAAAATTCGGACCGGTAACAAATACCGGCACCCTCCGATACAAATACCTGAGTTGGGAGCGACATGTGTGGCTGTCAAGTCAGTGAAGGGGAAGGACGACACGAGTTAATTATAGCTCCACCAAAATAAGCATGCATTGGGAGTTAAAAAAAAGGATTAACAGACTAATGCTTTAATTTTTAACCCGATTTAATTGCACTGGATTTAATACTTAGGGGTCAAATATCGGCATTGTGATTCACATATATGAATCAGATACAGCCACTAATTAAGGGACACAAAGTGGACTTATTTCCAATAGTTTTATAGCTTCTGAGCCTCTTGATGGGCCTAGCCTACCCCCGGCCCACGCAAACTGCAGAGGCTGGGTGGTAGCCGTTGGCCGCCGCCGCCGCCGCCGCCGCGTGGAGGGGACGAGACCGGCGGTGGAAGCAAAGCTTTGCCTCCCTCTTCCGCTAGCTTTCCTTCCACCGCCACCGTACTCGCCGCATCGCGCTAGGCTGGAGCCATGGAATCCAGCCGCCGCCGCCGGCAAGCAACCCGGGGCAGTCACGCTCACGCCGCGGGGATGGCCGCGCCGCGCCACCACGATTCCTTCCGTGTCGCCGCCTCCGCCTCCGCCCCCCTTTAACCCGCGGAGCTGCACGCTGCGTGCGGATGGTCCGGAGGAGGGGCGACGACGACGCCGCGGCGCGCGAGCTGAGGGGAGGAGGAGGAGGAGAATGGAGGAGTCGTCGATCACGCACACGCCCACCTGGGTGGTGGCCGTCGTCTGCTTCGCCATCGTCTCCGTCTCCCTCGCCGCCGAGCGCCTCCTCCACCACCTCGGCAAGGCACGCGCACCTCCCTTCCTCCCTCCTTTATCCCACCCCTATATGCTCTCGCCTCTCCAAATGCACCCGCCGATTCGTGTTGGATTCGTACGCGGTGGTGGATTTGCTACGCGCTGTGGGTTATGCTCGCGTTTGGGGGATCAGGAAATTCGGGTTTGCAGGCATCCGATCCGAGCGCTCGCCGTGATTTCTCTTCTCTTCCCCTGCGGGAATCGAGGTCTCGTAACTAAGTCATAATAATGGCTGATGAACTGGTGACGCCATCGCAATCGAGTTCATCTTGTTTCCAGCAACATAAGGGCGGGCTGGTTTTGGATGGATATTTAACTTGTTTGCAACTACATATGGCCTTGTTTTACTGGATTGAGGAGCTAGAATTTGAGTGCTCAGTTGGAATAGCTAGCCGTGTAGATGTTCGCTTCTCTGTGGATGGATTTTTCTCGCTGTGCTACGAATGCACAGTAATTTAGTACTACATGGTTATGGCCAAATGTGTTGTATGATTAATCTCATCACATCCTAAGCTGACAAACTAGTTGACAGACACAACATTTTTCCTGCCAGCATCATCACACAAGCACACTCGTCCGTTTTTCTAGGACCAGACAGTTTGCCAATACAAATAATTTCATTGTTAGGTAAGGTGATAGCTCACATGCTATGCATAATCTCATTTTTCTTTCTGGCAAGGCACTTCCATTGTTGGCTCAATATAGTTATCCTCCTTTGACCCAGTTAACTTCGCTCCCTTGTTTCCTTGCTGTGTGTCAGTTAGCTCTTCTGGTTAGGCGTCAAATGATGGTGTTCGTGTCTTCTATTAATTGATTTAATTACTGGGTATTTTATGTTAGTGGACTTCTAAGAAAGCAAACTTTTTATGTTCTGTTGAAACAATAACAGTCAGAGCTTAACTTTCATTTTTTCCCATTAAAAAAAATACAGTGCATTGTTCAATATTCAATATGAGTTTTAATACTCAACACATTTGTTGAATTGACTTAGTAATAATGGTCGACAATGCTATTAAGAAACTGCTAAGTTCTTCTTTTCTTCTTGCTCATACAGTTCTTGAAACATAAAGATCAGAAGGCATTGTATTCAGCTCTCGAGAGACTAAAAGAAGGTATCATTCAGGAATATCTTCAGTTGCTTATTTTCGATATTGTTAACCGGACTTCAATATATAAACATGGTACATCTGTTGTAGAATTTCACTTATTTTGGTTAAACAAAAATATTCAAAATAGCTGCTTACGGTATATTTGTATTTCACAAAATTTATGCTATTTCATTTAAAATTTTATTTCTTTAACGTCTTATCTAATTGAGTGTCTACATATGCAGAGTTAATGCTTCTGGGATTCATTTCCTTCGTCCTGAGCCTCTCTGAAGGTTTCATTGTTGGTATTTGTGTTTCGGAAAATGCTATGCATTTGATGCTTCCATGCAAGAAAGAGACTTACCAGCTTTCAGAAGGTGTTAAGCTTTGCAAGAAAAAGGTTAGGGATATACACCATTATCGAATATTAAGGATTCCTTTTCTTGGAAATGAAAATAGTATCTGATTGTTTTTCTTGCAACTTTTTTGTGGGAAATTGTTTCTTGAAAGTGGATGCCTGGTTCTATGATGTTTGAAATTCCATTCTGGCATACAAATTACACATTGTTGTTTAGCAAAACCTTGTGCCAATTTTGTTTTGCAGAACTGTTTCAATAAACATTGTAACAAAACAGGTTTGCTCTGTTTTAGGGTGAAGTTCCCCTGTTATCAGTGGAGGCATTGCATCAGCTGCACATCTTCATATTTATACTTGGTTTGGTCCATGTTGTGTTCTGTGCTACAACAATATTACTTGGTGGAGCGAAGGTATATCTGCATAGATAAGTCTCTGTGATATGTGACCATGCTTCCATTGATTAATCTTTGCCTGGTTAAACTTTGTAGATAAGAAAATGGAAGCTTTGGGAGACAGAAATCCAACAGGAAATGCAACAGAAATGTGTGTGTTATTTCCCTATTCTTTGCTTCTGTTTTTAAATAACTTATGTTCCAAAATAAAATATAATTATAAAAGATAAAGATACACAATTTTCTTGAATGCATATTGAAGCGTAGAAAGGGTCAGCTTTCACAAGATAGTATTACCTTCACTGATTTAAGTTAGAACATACTCTGTAACCTTGCACATCCCCTCAGCTTATGTTTTCCCATGTTTTTTGTATTTTGTCCTAGTTGTTCACACTGGCTTGTTCCTGCCATCCTTTGGTTTCAAGGTGTTTTAAGGCATAAGCATATATTGATAAGCCATTTGCATGCGACTGAACACCTTTCAGTTTCTTTTTAACCATTGTCATTGTCACTGAAATTCAGTTACCATAGGAGGAAGAATTCAGTTCTCATAAATTTCTTAATTGTGACTGCATGATTGCATCATTGTCTGTCCATAACCTATAGGTGGGTTAAGTTATGACTTATGCGTATTGGTCACATAACCTCTTTTTTCTACCGAGCTGGCTTCAGAGCACTTTAGCATGATAGCTCAATATGCTTGGATGTTCATGCTTCTCATCTGACACTGAAAAATGGATTTGTGCTTATTCCAATGCCTGTACCTATAACCTATGTTTGCTAATTGAGTTTTCCATTGCATAAACCACATAAGCACTTTGCATTATGCCAAACAAGTGAAATGGCTTCAAATTCCAGTAGTGTGTTGCTTGTACAAGTTTGTTCACTGTTATGCCACTTTCTCCTGATGACCCTTTTTGTCTTTAGATATACTTACTGATGAGCAATTCCTTTGGTCAAATATTAGTTTCTTTTTGGTTGATACCCAGGATTAATCATTCATGAAGAAGGCAGTCACCACGACATGCATAAACAACATATTGGAATGTCCAATTTTTGCAGTGTTTCTTAATGATGTTAATGCACCACGCTCTGATTATTCCCTTTCCAGACTTACTAGTTACTACCATTAGGAAGTTCTGTATAAAAGATCGTGTCTCCATTTTCCTGTTAGAAGCACTAGGCTGCTAACACTTTAACATTTTCATTCGTTGTGTAATGATCTCATTTTTATTGGAGAAATTGGTTGTAGTACAAAAAAGAGATGCTACACCTGGGCGTATTGCACATAATCAACAGGGTGAATTTGTCAGTGAGCGAACAAAGGGGTTATGGATGAAGCTGGCTGTTGTAAGCTGGATAGTAAGTCATCTGCCAAATCTTTTGTGCTTTCTCATTTCATATATTTTGGAATGTGGATATCCGCATGCTGCCATGGCCGTAAGTTGATCCAAATCATGATTGATGTAAATAAGCAATGATTATATCATTGCACGAATTGCATGCCACAGTGCCATTAAAGTATGGAAAGTATGCAAAAAAATGCTATCTTTCAAAGTGGTCACATGTCTGATGTTCATATTGGATCAATACATTCAGTAAACATTCTTTATTATATAGTTAAATGCTTTCCGCAAGACATTGTTTCCTACCATTCTCCTACTATGTTCTATGTATGTGTTTATTGCAATGCTTATGATGTTTGCTTACTGTCTTCAGTAGTGCCTCATGTATCTATAACTTTACGAAGGTGTTTTTTTCTAAAAGCTTTTATCTACATATATTGCAGATTGCTTTCTTTAAGCAGTTTCATGATTCTGTGAGTAAATCAGATTATAAAGCACTTAGATCAGCATTCGGCTTGGTAAGACACATCATTTATTTCAAGCCTTGCTCATTGATTTACATCGCTATTGAAGCGAACAGGGTGCTTTTGTTTTCACAGAAACATTTCCCAAGTCATCCATCCTTCAATTTCTACAAGTACTTGATTCGTGCTCTTGAACATGACTTTAAGAGAGTAGTTGGTATCAGGTTGGTGTTTTCATAGAACAGTTCTAACCTTTGACTTAAATTTGTACATGACGTTAATATTAGCTAGTTGTGTGCAGCTGGTACATGTGGCTTTTTGTCATCCTTTTCCTATTGCTGAATATAAACGGTTAGTCTACATGTCCCCTTGATTCATTGGATCCAGTATAGTGGTATACAGTAAATGATTAAAATGGCATGGTATCTTCTTATTATTACCAGTACATGCTTTATTTGAACACTACCATTGGTGGCTTGTGAATAACATGGTGTTTCTGCATTGTATGCTACTATCCTTGTATGAATTAGCATGCCATTTGCATATCAACTTTAGGATTCAGAAAGTGGTATCAGTTCTCTTATGGAGCAAGGTTTGTAATAGTTTTCTGTGGGGTGTAATGCTCTTCATCCTTTGATTATTGTCCAATGCAGGATGGCATACATACTTCTGGTTAGCTTTCTTGCCTCTGTTTGTAAGTCAAACTTTCTCCTTTTGACATGGGTTCCGTTGAATTCATATACTCTACTTCCTGCTATCTACTTTAGAATTCTTCCTTTTTTGGTGAGACATCTACTTTTAAATTCTGACTCAAATCTACATTAGCTGTTATTTTTGAAAAGTAAACATAGAATGAATTTATATCTGAATGAGGCACTTCCTGATAATGGAGTAAAATTGCAGCTCCTGCTTGTTGTTGGTGCAAAGCTAGAGCATATTATTACCCGATTAGCTCAAGAGGCAGCAGCAGTGGCATCATTATCACACGGAACAGAGAGAACTCCTTATGTAAAGCCATCGAAGGAACATTTCTGGTTTGGCAGACCTGAAATTGTCCTCAACCTGATCCATTTCATCCTGTTCCAGAACTCTTTCGAGATTGGTTTTTTCATCTGGGTCTTGGTATTGTCCATTGCGCTCTCCCACTTCAATTGCAAGCATTTAATGATTATGACTTCGCAGAATCGCAGCTAATAAAGGAATCACTCGACAGGTAACATTCGGGTTCGACTCGTGCATTATGGAGAAGAAGGTGTACGCCATTTCTAGGCTTGTTATTGGGTCAGTAAAAATTCTGAATTACCTGCAAGATTCGTTCTTTCTCACATGCATAGTCCTGCTAGCACAATAAGAGTTGGAACATTACTTATCCGTTGACCTTTTATGCCCTTAGTTCTACTAAATTACTTAGAGTCGTCTTGATAATGACTAATTATTTGCTGTTTAATGCAGTGTGCTCATCCAAATGATCTGCAGCTACGTCACTCTACCACTATACGCCATCGTTACACATGTAGGCTCCAGAAATAACTCTCTCTTTTGACGGTCCGTTTGGTTGGAGGGAGTTTTTAGGAGGGATCGGGAGTTTAGAGGGATGAGGTTATTAAGTGTTTTGTTTGGTTGGGAGACATGAGAATTTTGGTGGGATGGGGATGGGGAATTGAGGAAGGAACTCCCTCCTTTTCAATACCTGGTAGGGGTAGGTAATTGGGAGGGAATTCCTCTTTTACTTTATCTAAGCAAATCTCAGCCATCCGTTTTTATTAATGATTTAATTTTCAACTAAACTCCCTATCAATATCCATCACCTCTACCAAACAAGATATTGGGATTAAAAATCAAATTCTCATCTTAATCTTATCATCAATTCGCTCGTGTAAACTCCCAATCTCCTTCTGAAGGTTTTTTACTACTTCATGAAATGTTTCACTTTTACTGCTCTCTGACGATGGCGTTCCCAGATGGACGGAGGCATCAAGCTGCAAGGGATTGGGTCGGGCCTGCACGAGTCCGTCGCGGGGTGGGCCCTGGACGCCCGGAGGAAGAAGGAGGAGCAGCAGTCGTCCCACGGCGGCGCCACCACCGGCGCGACGGAGGGGAGCAATTACAGGAGCGACCACTTCGGGGCCTCGCCGCGCAGCGCCCTGGCGCCGCCGCCACCACCTTCCCCCGACCTGGTCGAGATCGTCTCCGTCGCCGCCGCCGACGACGACGGCGACGACAGCCGCCACCGTAGGTGATGATTGACGAAATTATATTCATTGTGTCGGGGGCGGCGATGATCGATCTCTGCTGCATATGCGTCCGTCGCATCATGGATTCGTACGTCAGGGCTGTCTGTAACGTCAGCGTCGGCGCTAGCTGCCGACGGGACGCGTCGTCCGCCGCCGGCCGAGCCGGCAGGAAGGCAGGCGCGTTGTGACATGTCGTGTGAGACGCCACAACGCTTGTTGGCTGGCCGGCGCTGGCCTGGCCTGGCTTGGCTTGGCTCGTGTTTTCTTTCTGTGTCGTCCCCGGAGCCCACATACACACTCGCGCGGCAGGTGTTCCTGATGGACATGCCTCCGTAACTCCGTTTTGTAATAAGAAAATAATCCTGTAAAGACTAAAGACAAGGTAGAAGCAGAATGAGCCTGTGTGGTTGTATATATGCATGTAATTATTATTTCCTCCTTCTCAAAATGTTTTTATCTAGGATAGCATTTGAATGATCTATCTTAATATAATGAATCTTTGTATATGATATATATCAAATCTCATGCTAGATAGTGCTCCGTCTTTTTGAGACGGAGGTAGTATTTCACCTGGACTCTCTCTAACCTGTGCAGGCATGTACATTGTAGGTAACGGTTTCTTGTTTGATCGATGGTGCATTGCTAGCTGCTGCACGTGGTGATCGATCTGATAAAAAAGCTACGGATGGCTTCAAGCTTTGTCATGGCGAAAGCTAGCTGCTCGTCATCACAATTCACAGGTACATAGCGCGTAACCCCTCCTTTCGCTTTATTATTTCCTAGTGCAAACAAATCCTCCATCGGTCTCATTTTAAGTATAGCCATGATTTTCCATGTCCAACTTTAAACATTTATCTTATTTATTTTTTTTAAAAAAATTAAAAACATAAGTCACACACAAAGTTATATTTATGTTTTATCATCTCATAACAATAAAAATACTAATTATAAAAAGATTTTAAATAAGACGAACGTTCAAAGTTGGATACAGAAACTCATAGTTGCACTATTATGAAGGTAGTATATGCCGCCGTTGTCGCCGCCTGCCCTGCCATCGCCGGCGGCCGGCCGGACGGACGCTTCCGTGCGTGCTTCCCAATTATTGCCGACTCGACGTCGGCCGGATTATTGGGCCGGGGACGACGGCGAGGCGCCGTCTCGTCGTCGTCCCTGATCGATGCCCAGATCGAAACATCTCGGCGGCACGTACGGCCGGTCGGCCGGCCAGCCGCCGTGCGCGCCTGCGGCTGGGGCAGGCATGCATCGATCATGTCAGGGACGACGACGACACGGCATGGTGGCAGAGGCGAGCGAGACGGGTCTATAGCTCTACTAGGCCTGGCTCTATATATAGCTAGGCGTCGTCGTCGTCTAGCTAGCTTAGCTGAAGCCTATCAAGTACTGGACGATCGACAGACTTGAGGCTTCATTGCGTGCTAGCTGCCGGCCGGCCGGTATGTACGTTTCGATCGATCGGTTCGTCGTCGTCGTCGTCGTGGCAACTACTCCAGCTATGTAGCGTTAGCTGCAACACCTTTCTGCATCCATCCATGCTTTGCATGTGGTCGGTGGCCGATGCCGTAGCGTGCAGTGGTAGACATATGCATGCACGCATGCATACTATGCTACAAGAATATGCTATACGAACGGAACATGCATGCGTGGTACAAGCGTAGACGCTCACATCTTTAAAGCGTGATTAACGGTTTCTCAAAATTCCAATCACAAATGTTAAAATAACTCTCCAACAGATAGCCTGAAATCAGCTTGACTCTAAGATAAAAATATGAGCTACCCCCAAACTACCAATAAACTGTTCTTCCCCTCATCCTGCATTCGCGCGATTGATTTGGTAGAGAGTTGATTGGGAACGAGCACGGCGCTTTGACTTGTGGAGAGTGAGACTTTCATGGGGAAATGAACTTAGTAACGGAGGTAGCTCTTGAGCAGGTTGGCCGACTATCTGGGCTCTGTCACTGTGCCTCCATTACCGACTACCATCAATATGTACAAAAATTGAGCGATTGCCATGAAATGCTATTAGCCATGCATCCAGGTTGGAGGACAACTACGTTAGCTCCATCACAGAAGGAACTCCAATTCTTAAATAGATTATTACGAGATCGTTGGAGAGCGACTTTTTCAACCAAAACCCCCTCATTTTAATATTGGGAGAGAGATGTTTAGGGAAAACGGCTGACCATGCTCTTATAAACCTGCACACGCACATATTCGAAAGACTATATGGGTATATTTTGAAATTGGCAAAGCGCTACAAGAATATTCTAGTAGCAAACACACTTGCAAACATACCTGATATACCTACGCTCGATCGGGGTTCAAGCTTCTCCTCCGCCCTAAAATGTAGTTATTTCTAGCACAGTACTTTATTCTAAAATGAAGCTATTTTTCTACCAACCTTCTCCTCTGAACCAATCACAACCATTCTTTTTCACCTACTTTCTTTTTTCAACCAATCACACACATTTTTCAATTATTCTCACCTACTTTCTTAATACCCGTGCTAACTTAAAAAATACTTATATTTTGGGACGTAAATGATTTGGGCATAGTGTGCAGCTAGGCAGGGTACTCTACAACGTAGCTATAGAGGTTGATTGAACGGAGTGGGGGGAAGGGAGGGAGGGACAGCGTACGTACGTTACATGACATCGTCCACATGGATGGGCCATATTTGTGCGAGATGCACAAGCAACCTAGAGAGAGAGCCAGCCAGCCAGCGTGCGTGCATATGCACGTAGTACTAGTACACTAACGCATATTCTTTCCTTCCCTAGCTAAGATAGATAGCGTGGCATCTCGATCTGCGTCTAGAGAGCTACTCCAGCTAGCTTAGCCTGATCTCTCTCACTCTCTCTGCGTTGATCTTTTCGATCCATCCATCCATCGATCATTAGCTACCTACCTCCCTCTCTCTCTCCCCCTCCATGCTTGGAGGAATCCATCCATGTATGCTCAAAGTGATTCGGAGTAGCTTCATGCATGGGCTACATATACCTTGGCCCAATTTGTACCTTTTTTTTTTTGAAAAAGAGTACTCGATCGAGTAGTTTACTCTCTCTGCCCTGATAAAAAAAACTAACATAGTACCGAATATATATTAAGATGTGTCACATCTGGTACTAGATTGATTTTTTAGGAGATGGGGGAGTATATTAATTACAAGATGTTTTAATTTTTTAAATTGAAACTTCCTTCTTTTCAATATATTTTATAAAAAAGTAATATAGTACTAAAATATATTTAATATTAGATGTAAAATATGGGCTTGTTCACTTTGCTACCATTTTTAACCTTACTAAATTTTAGTAAAGTTGCTAAAAAGTGGCTACATTTAGTTTGCAGCCAAATTTTGGTACCTGCTAAAATTTTGGCAAGGTGTTAAAGTGGTATCAAAGTGAAAATGATATCAAAGTGAACAGGCCCTATATCATATTATGTATGTGGGTGCTTGATTTCTGGTTGCCGGCGCCTCCACCGCTGCCGATGCTTCCGTAGCCATGCAGCAGCAGCTGCACCGCCGCCACTGCCGATGTGGCTACCATCGGCGCCACCTACAAAAAGGCCGGCGAGTTCGGGAGATGAGAGAAATTAGAGATTTGATTTTCAATAGAACATGTACGTACGCCACCTGCTGCTTGATTCTTTCTTTCTCGTTCCAGATCTGGGGCTTCCCAGTTCAATTGCTTGATAGAGATGAAGATTTGGGATACATAAGAAGATGAGATAAGAGAAAAGCCTCGTCAGGGATTTTTGTTTTTTTTTTTTTGCAAAATTCCTTAACCATGATGCTAGCCTTTGGATTGAGATCGGAAGGATGCCGTTGCATGAGTGCATGTGTGCACATGATACATTGCCCCTAATAAAAATTGAACGTCCTCACCTAAATGTTTTCATCCGCGGCATCCCAAGTCCAACACACAAAAGTCATTCAGAGTCCATATCAAATAACACAAAAAATTTAAATCAGTTAGTATTACACCAGGAGAAGTTGCATATACAACATACAAAAATTGGTTACAAAATTTTCTTGAATTAGATCCTAAATACAAGAGTTGATAAAGGCAGACAAAGAAAAAGAAAACCCAAATCGAACAAAAATCTAGCTACCATATCTCGCAAGAGATACGAGCGGCATGAGTTTGCTATCGTCGAGCTTCAGCCGCCGCCGCGGCCTTCGAGCTCCACCACCGCCTCCCTAAGGTCAGATCCGACTATGAGGGGTGCGGAGTGGCCGCTGGCGCTGGGGCTGGCTTGGTCGAGCTGTGTCGCCGCCGCCCGCCACCTCCTTTAAGGCTAAGATCCGGTGAGGGGAGGGGAGGTAGAGCGGCTCATAGTGAGGGGAGGGGAGAGGAAAAGTAAAACTAGGGTTAGTGTTTTTGGACACCAACGGTTCTGATGGATTTGGAACTGACGCGGCTCATAGTTGTTTTGGGTGCCAGGCGCCAGCTGCTATCCAATGCCTGCTACAGGACTACAGGGTCGACACTCTACACACATGAATGAATGATACGAAGAACACGTGTGACATCTAGCTAGGAGATGCAATTCAATTAGCTACTCCTAAAAGAAAAAAATATATAAAAATATGGGACCAGCTATATATTTATCGATAAATTTTCTCCTAAAAAATTGACAGATGTAATTATAGTACAATCGTAGTGTAATTACACTGTAACTTATATGTAATTACACTGTACCTTGCATGTAACTACAGTGTAACTTGTATATAAGTTTCACGTAATTTTGAATCGTTAAATCTATTACAAGATTTGTTTTGGTGAGGAAGAAAAAAATCACAGCACACACATATGTGTAAGGATTTGTTCCCATAACCTCCATTTTACCGAAATAACATATTACAGAGAGATTTTTGAAAGTTACATACAAGTTACACTATTGTTACAGTGTAATTATATGCAAGTTACAGTGTAATTACACTACGATTATACTGTAATTATATCTGTTAAATTTTTGGGAGAAAATTTGTCGATAAATATATAGCAAAATCGTAAAAATATAGATTGGTGTCAGCATGGCATGGGCTGTGGCTATCTCGTTTGCGTGAGTATGTGTCTCTTGGATCCAGAGTTAACAGTGGGCCCAATGCCTGTCTGTGGGCCCCCAACACACCAAGACAGCTCTCTCAGCCTCTCCTTCCCCTTCCCCACACAATCATCTGAACAAGAAAAATATTTCTTAGGATATTATTACAGCTGGGGATCTAGGGGCAGCCTAATGTTCACGTGTGGTGCAACGGATTTTGGATAAATGACTCAGCTGAGTTTTTTTTTTCACTTTCCTAACTCATCTCTTGTTTTACACATTTACGTTTTTCAAACGAGTAAACGGTGTATTTTTTAAAAAAAATCTATACAAAAGTTGCTTTAAAAAAAATCATATTAATCTATTTTTAAAAAATTAGCTAAAATTTAATTAATAATGTGTTAATGCATACGTCATTTTGCCCGAACACAAGTTTAAAGCAATAT